AGGCAGGAGAATTGCCTGAACCCAGGAGGCTGGAGTGCAATGGCGCGATCTCGGCTCACCGCAACCTCCGCCTCCTGGGTTCAGGCAATTCTCCTGCCTCAGCCTCCTGAGCAGCTGGGATTACAGGCATGCGCCACCATGTCCAGCTGATTTTTTGTATTTTTAGTAGAGGCGGGGTTTCACCGTGTTGACCAGGATGGTCTCGATCTCTTGACCTTGTGATCCACCCGCCTCGGCCTCCCAAAGTGCTGGGATTACAGGCGTGAGCCACCGCGCCCAGCCCATATTTTAATTCTTAATGTATGGAAGTTTTTCAGACTGTTGTGCTCACCATTTTCAATCAGATTGATATCATTATAACAAAATAACTGACCCATAAAGACATTCACTCCCCCTCCTTTCCCAATCCACCCTCCAGAATGAAGCCACTTTCTATAACTTTGTCACTAAATCCAAAGGTGAGTGCCAACAGTTAGGAATCTTTCAGTTGCAAAAGATAAAAAGCCCAACTCAGTTGCCTTAAACAAAGAAGAAATGTATTATTTGATGTGACAGGAAGGCCTGAGGTGTAGACATTTGAAATTTGTAGGGTTGGTTAATTTGGTGGCTCATGGATGTTTTCAAGTAGCCCAGCCTTGTACTCTACCATCACTAGTGTATAGGCTTGGTCTTCAGCCCGCTGCTCCTCTTGGTCAGGACAGCTGTGGTTCTAGGCATCATATCTAGATAAGCCAACAGTCAAGGGAAGAAGGGGACTGTTTATTTTTTCCTTTAGTCTCTCTTAAAGAGTGAGAAAAATTTCCCCAGGTATCCTAGCAGACTTTGCTTTTCCACTCATTGGTTCATACCAAGTCACAACCTCACAGCCTTAGAGCTTTCGTTAGGAAGAGGTATGGTGGTGGGATTACTATGCTTGGCTTGGATTGGTCAGGATTTACCCTCAGAGTCATGTGGGAGAAGGGTGGAAACCCAAACAGTTCAGGATTCTGCCCTCAGGAAATAAGGGGGAAAACTGCTGTTGGATAAACCACCAGCAGGCACTGGTACAGCCTGTGCTTTGTGGTTTAAGGGCCTGCTAGTTACAGTGACAGTTAGCTAGTTACTCTTTCCATGTAATTTTCTTAAAGGTATTAAGTTTTAGGCCGGGCGCGGTGGCTCACGCCTGTAATCCCAGCACTTTGTGAGGCCGAGGCGGGTGGATCACGAGGTCAAGAGATCGAGACCATCCTGGTCAACATGGTGAAACCCCGTCTCTACTAAAACTACAAAAAATTAGCTGGGCATGGTGGCGCGTGCCTGTAATCCCAGCTACTCAGGAGGCTGAGGCAGGAGAATTGCCTGAACCCAGGAGGCGGAGGTTGCGGTGAGCCGAGATCGCGCCATTGCACTCCAGCCTGGGTAACAAGAGTGAAACTCTGTCTCAAAAAAAAAAAAAAGAAAAAAAAAAAGGTATTAAGTTTTTCTAAATATTAAGCTGTAACTTTCACTTTCTCTTGAAGACACAGAAAGGGAGTCACAAGACACTGTTGCAGAGAATGATGATGGCGGCTTCAGTGAGGAATGGGAAGCCCAGAGGGACAGTCATCTAGGGCCTCATCGCTCTACACCTGAGTCACGGGCTGCTGTCCAGGAACTTTCCAGCAGCATCCTTGCTGGTGAAGACCCAGAGGAAAGTATGTGCATTTCTCTATGTTGCAAAGTCATGGATTACTTTAGGCGGCTGCATTATCAATCTTTTCAAAAGTAAAATGAATTGAGAGTGTTACAATCTAATTCTGTATCACATATAGCTTTTAGTGGGAAATATCAGTAATAGTGCTTTTTATTATTAAAAAATTGGTTAATCCTAAGACCTAAAAATAAATAAATAAATAAAAAGTTGGTCGATAGGCCAAATTCTTCCCTTCAGACTTTTTAAGTTGGCCTTTTACAGCCTGACCTTTTGGCATTTATTTTATAAAGCAAAAAAAAATTTTTTAAATTATTCCAATAAGACTTCATGGCTGTAATATACTTGTCTACAAAAATTTCATTAATATGCTTCACTCTGCTGTACAGAGACCTGGAGATTTACGTGATACAACCTTGTATATTATTCCTTTGTTGGCAAGTGCCATATTTTATTAATTTTAAAGAAAAAGAGATTTAAGATATTGGCAGAAATGCAAGTATTTCTTCAGTGTCTTGAGATGTGTCCCGCTTGATAGATTTAAGGTAACACATAGGGCTTCTTAGGAACAGCAGCCATTAAAGCCCCTTGGTTAGGGCTCAACCATCTCTTCAGGTAGTCTTAGAGATGTGGTTCATTGAATGAGTTTAGCATATTTCCCAAGTTATTTTTGGTTTTCTTGTTTTTGCAAAAGTGAAACTTGATTAAAACATTGCAACAAGAATATTAAGTAGTTTTAAAGAAACAAACACCCAATTTCCTTAGCATCTTTAATTATTAGTCACTAATTATGACTTTGACATTATCCTTCAGTTTGAGGAGAACAATTTTTACACCTTGTCCTCAAGCTTTTAACTTGAGTCAGAACCTTGACTGGGCATATTCATGACTTTACTGCTTGGCTGATTTTCCCAGATATCAAAGCCCAGCCGCAGCCTATGACTTGCACACTCCTGGGAAAGTAGACGTATCTTCCTGCTCTTAGAGCAGGCTTTAGCTTGCCTTTGCTGGGATTTTTTTCTGCCCTCAGTTACCACCATAATTAGGTTGCCTCTTCTGCTACTTTTCTTTTTTCTCACAGGCACCAGGAACCAAAAGAAAGAATATGTAATAGTTGTTGACCAGAGCAGTAGCGTAATTCTTACATGACTGCCTTTTCTAATTTGAAGATTCTTTCTCCTGAGAGTACTCTTTGTGTCCTCCTCCTCTTCATCTCCAACTCTTTTTAAAAAAAGGAAACTCTTGTATTTCCCCTCCTAACTTCAGATCAGTATTTTCTTACTCTGAATCCAATATAAAGTATAACAGACGTGTTTCATCATCTTATCATTCAGCACACAACGTCATTGTTTCTGATGGTTTGAATATGTTAAACCAGACTTATGGGTACTTACAAAAAGGTTCAGTTTACACCAGAAGTCAGTTGCTAAAAGGCACAAATGTCTTCCAAAACAACCTGTTAAAAAGTCAACATTTAACATTTAATTAGAAAACTGATCAAAGGATCTGAATGTATAGTTCTCCAAAGAAAATGTAAAAATGGTCAATAAACACATGAAAAGATACTCAACATCATTAGCCATCAGGGAAATGCAAATCAAAACCACAATAGATACCACTTTATACCTACTAGAATGGCTATAATAAAAAAGATAGACAATAGCAGATGTTGGTGAGAATGTGAAGAAACTAGAATCCTCATATATTGCTGTTGGGAATGTAAAATAGTATGGTGATTTTGGGAAACAGTTCGGTAGTTCTTTAAAAGATTAAATATGACCCAGTAATTCTACTCCTCCATATATGCTTGAGAAATAAAACATGTCAACACAAAGACACATACACAAATGGTCATAGTAATATTGTTATAACAGGCAAAAATGGAAATAACCCACATGTCTATTAACTGATAAGTGGATAATAAATGTGGTATATAGATACAACAGAATATTGCTTGGTTATAAAAAGAAACAGTCTATCAGTAGTACACTTAGGATGAGCCTGTTACTGGGCTGTTGGCTGTGGGAAGTAAATCTTGAAATTCGCTAAAAGACCAGCTACCTTTGCAGTGAATAAAAATGTCTTACATTTCTAATTTAAATTTTTGTTCAGTTTTATTATTCAGCTTTAAAAAGGAAGGGAATTCTGACATGTTACAACATGAATAAATATTGAGGATATTATGCTAAGTGAAATAAGCCAGTTACAAAAAGAAAAATATGATTCTGCTTATATCAGACTATTAAACTCAATAGAGTCAGAAAGTAGAATGGTGGTTGCCAGGGGCTAGGGGGAGGGAAATGAAGAATCACTGTTTAATGGGTATAGAGTTTCAGTTTTATAAGACGAAGAGTTCTGTGGATAGATGGTGATGGTAGCACAGTGATATGATTATACCTAGAGTCGTTGAACTGTTCACTGAAAAAGCGTTAAGGTGGTAAACTTTATGGGTATCTTACCACAATTAAATTTTTATTTTTTATTTTTGTTTGAGACAGAGTTTCACTCTTGTCGCCTAGGCTGGAGTGCAGTGGCATGATGTTAGCTTACTGCAACCTCTGCCTCCTAGGTTCAAGCAATACTCCTGCCTCAGGCTCCCGAGTAGCTGGAACTACAGGTGCATATCAAGACACCTGGCTAATTTTTGTATTTTTAGTAGAGACAGGCCTTCACCATGTTAGCCAGGCTGGTCTTGAACTCCTGACCTCAATTGATCCGCCCACCTTGGCCTCCCAAAGTGCTGGGATTATAGGTGTAAGCCACTGCGCCTGGCCAAAAAAAAATTTTTTAAATACCATTAAGAAGCAGAAGGCCAGGTGTGGTGGCTCATGCCTGTAATGCCAGCACTTTGGGAGGCCTTAGTGGGTGGATCACCTGAGGTTGGGAGTTTGAGACCAGCCTGGCCAACATGTTGAAACCCAGTATCTACTAAAAATATAAAAATTAGCCAGACATGGTGGCGCATATCTGTAATCCCAGCTACTCAAGAGACTGAGGCAGGAGAATTGCTTGAAACCAGGAGGTGGAGGTTCCAGTGGGGCGAGATCACTTTAAAAAAAAAAAAAAAAAGGAAAGTAAGTTATCAGCTGAGAGAAAATACTTGCAATCGTATTGAAGTCCTGTTAAAGGACTGGTATTTAAGATATATATAAAGGATGTTTACAACTTAATAAGAAGACGATAGCCCAAATTTAAGATAAGAAAATGCTTTGACTAGACATTTCACCAAAAGAGATATTTAATGGCTAATAAGCATATAAAAAGCTGCTTAACATCATTAATCAGCGTGCTAGAATCAAAAGACTAACAATACCAAGTGCTAGTGAGGATGTGAAGAAACTGAAACTCTCAGTTGTTGCTGGTGGAAATGCAAACTGGCACAGCCAGTGTGGAACATGATTTGGCAGTTTATCAAAAAGCTAAAAACCTAAACTTACATAGCCCAGCAGTTGCACTCCCAGGAGTCTACCCAACAGAAATGAAAGGAATCCGTTCCCACAGGGACATGGTCATGAATGTTCATAGCAGCATAATTCAGAATAGTCCCCAACTGAAAACAATCCAGATGTCCATCAACTGGTAAATGGATAAGCAAACCATATAATGGAAAACCATTCAGCTTCCAGTAACTTCCAATAAAAAGGAAGAAACTATAGACACATGCAATGTCATGGATAAACCTCAAAAGCATTATATTATATTTTATATTATATTGTATTATATTATGTAAAATAGGCCAGGCACATACTGTATGAGTCATGTGAAATGTGCAGAAAAGACAAATTTATTAAGATAGAAAACAGTTCAGTGGTTGCTTAAGACCTAGGGTAGGAGGGGAATTAACTGTAAACAGGTACAAGGTACCTAATGGGGGCGGTGGACATGTGGATCGTGATGATAGTTGTACAACTCTATAAATTTTCCACAATCATTGAATTGTCTCTTAAAGTTTTATGACATAAATCATAGCCCAGTGAAGCTATTTTTTAAAAAATCAGATGATAAAGTGATGCCTATTTCATAAGAATCCTTGTAAGAATTTCTTAGTACAAGTGCTGGGTATAAACTAGACATTCAATAGACGACAATTATTACTTATTGTTATTGATAAATGGCAGCATCTATAGTTAAGACTCCAGAGACAGTCACATAGAATCTGGAACTCCTGTTGTAGAAAACGAAAAAAGAAAGAAAACCCAGCTAAAGCCTAATTTTATGTATCATTTACTGACTTTTCTCATTCATTGTGGGGTTGAGTAGGGCAGTGATTTTTTTAATTGTGAAATCATAGCAAACAGTGACCAACGTTTTAATATTTGTAATCTTTCCTTTTTAGGGGGAGTAAAACTTGGATTGGGAGATTTCATTTTCTACAGTGTTCTGGTTGGTAAAGCCTCAGCAACAGCCAGTGGAGACTGGAACACAACCATAGCCTGTTTTGTAGCCATATTAATTGTAAGTGTACACTCAATAAGAATGTGCCTGAACTCCTAATGTCAAAACTCCGATTCCACAGTCCCTTTAAGGCAGTTCTGTTTTAACCCCAGGTGGGTTAAATGTTCCAATTATCTGAGGAGCTTTTTGATAATTGGATCTCACCTCAGTACACAGTGCAGTCACTTGGGAGCTTTAAAAACTGTAAGCTCTGCCCTGAGATATTCTTATTTAATTGTGTAGTTTTAAAAAGTTCCTCAGGAAAAAAAAAAAAAAAAAAAAAAAAAGTTCCCCAGGAAATTCTGGTAAATATTTCTGTGTAGGAACCACTGCCTCAAGCCCAGCAGCACAGATATGTAGGAAATTAGCTCTGCAAGGTCAGTCTTCCAGGGGTAAACAGATCCTCACTTAGTCCCAGAGACTTAGTCACTGAGAGTTTGGTGGTGGTTTTGCATTTAATGACACAGCTTATAGCATACAGTGTTACTTAAGACAGGAAGCATCTAGTGAGAGGAGCTAGTGCCTGCATGACCCGACATAGATCTTGCTAATAGTGCTACAGCATGAACCCTGAAGCTTTCAAAACTATGATTTTTTTTTTTTTTTTTTGAGACAGTCTTGTTCTGTCACCCAGGCTAGAGTGCCTAGCTGACATGATCTCAGCTCACTGCAACCTCTGTCTCCTAGCTTCAAGTGATCCTCCTGTCTCAGCCTCCCAAGCAGCTGGGACTACAGGCATGCACCACCACACCTGGCTAATTTTTGTATTTTTAGTAGAGATGGGGTTTCGCCATGTTGGCCAGGCTGGTCTCAAACTCCAACTTCAAGTGATCCGCCCTCCTCGGCCTCCCAAAGTGCTGGGATTACAGGCGTGAGTCACTGCACCCAACTTCAAAACTATGATTTAAGTAAATGACCCATAAAATATTTCTTACTGCTATTTTTACTAAAGATGTGATATCTTGGCCGGGCACAGTGGCTCACACCTGTAATCCCAACACTTAGGGAGGCCGAGGTGGGCATATCACCTGAGGTCAGGAGTTTGAGACCAGCCTGAACAACACAGTGAAACCCCGCCTTTACTAAAAACACAAAAATTAGCCGAGCATGGTGGCTGTGCACCTGTAATCCCATCTACTTAGGAGGCTGAGACAGGAGAATCCCTTGAACCTGGGAAGTGGAGGTTGCAGTGAGCGGAGGTTGCACCACTGCACTCCAGCTTGGGTGACAGAGTGAGACTCCGTCTCAAAAAGAAAAAAAAAAAAGATGGTGATACCTTTGACATCTAGTATGTGAGTGAAATTAGATGAGAGGTTGGAGAAGACTGCTTATGCATTCATTTTGTGATTACATTTGGGGTTTATCATGATTTTGATGTGTTTTACTTCTCCTTTGAGGTTCATTATCCCGATTTCAAAGTATTTATTTGTATGTGTTGTATCTCTTAAGAAAATTACTTACTCTGAATAAACTGAAATGGTACCTAGCCTCCAGACTTTCTAGTGTTTCAGTAACTAGGGTAAAAAATGAACTCTATTATATGCTGCTCTGTGTTTACCAGAAAGCAATATACTCCTCATAAATAAACTGTTATTTTATTTTTTAAACACTGCAACCTCGCCATGCTTCACGGAGGAGCCTGTGCGGGAAGAATGCTCCCGCATAGCATAATGAATGCTCTTCACCTCTGGGTTTTTAACCAGCCAAACTAAAATCACAGAGGCCAACACAGTATTTAAGATAGAAATTTCTGCATCTTTTAACTGTTTTTAAAAATAGCATTACTTATTTTCAGATTTTCTTTTTTTTTTTTACCCCGCCCCCCTATTTTCAGATTTTCTTTCCTAGAATTAGTGGATAAAATAATGTGAACGAATAAAATGACATAGTGAACCTTATGAAACAAACAAAAGCTAAGTTTTTTTCATAGCTCTTCCAGATTTAATGAAATGTCTGTTCTAAAATTTAACCCTGAAGGAAAATACTCAGTTAACTATGTTAAAAATCAATACTTGTGATTGCGTTTTACTTAAAAATGCCTTCATAATTATGTGCGAATGTGTGTCTTTTCCGTCTTCTCCACAGGGTTTGTGCCTTACATTATTACTCCTCGCCATTTTCAAGAAAGCATTGCCAGCTCTTCCAATCTCTATCACCTTTGGGCTTGTTTTCTACTTTGCCACAGATTATCTTGTACAGCCTTTTATGGACCAGTTAGCATTCCATCAGTTTTATATCTAGCATATTTGCAGTTAGAATCCCATGGATGTTTCTCCTGTGACTTTAACAAAATCTGGGGAGTACAAAGGTGACTTTCCTGTGTCCACATCTAACAAAGTCAAGATTCCCAGCTGGACTTTTGCAGCTTCCTTCCAAGTTTTCCTGACCGCCTGCACTATTGGACATTGGAAGGAGGTGCCTATAGAAAACAATTTGAACATACTTCATCACAGTGAACTGTGTCCCTCGGTGCAGAAACTACCAGATTTGAGGGACAAGGTCAAGGAGACATGATGGGCCCGGAAGTTGCTGTGCTCCATCAGCAGCTTTCCCTCGGTCGCAGGAAGATTTCACCAACACTGCGGACTCTCAGGACTACCGTTACCAAGAGGTTAGGTGAAGTGGTTTAAACCAAATGGAACTCTTCATCTTAAACTACATGTTGAAAATCAACCCAATAAATCTGTATTAACTGAATTTGGAACTTTTCAGGAGGTACTGTGAGGAAGAGCAGGCACCAGCAGCAGAATGGAGAGGTGGGCAGGGGCTCCAGCTTCCCTTTGACTTTTTGCTGCAGACTCATCCTTTTCAAATGAGACTTGTTTCCCCTCCTCTTCGAGTCAAGTCAGATGTGTAGATTGACTTTGGCAATTTTTGTTCTTAAGCACTGACACTTATTACCATCTGTGATTGCCATTTCTTTCCAAGGCCAGTCTGAACCTGAGGTTGCTTTATCCTAAAAGTGTTAACCTCAGGTTCCAAATTCAATACATTCTGGAAATCACAGAACTATTTCCCATCGATTCTCCATAATCCTGAAGTCAATTTTGGATTTTCCACCAAATTCTGAATTTGTAGACATACTTGTAAGTTCACGTGCCCTGGATGCCTCCTCTGTCCTCGTTCTTCTCTCACTCCCACACAAGCAGTCCTATTCTACAGCCAGTAAGGCAGCCCTGTTGTGATAGCAGATGATCCCGTTATTCTAGGGTTTTACTCTGTATGATGAAAAGAATGTGTTACGAATTGGTGCTGTCAGCCCTGCTGTCAGACCATTTCCATAGCAAATGAAATGTATGCCCAAAGACAGTAGAATTAAAGAAGAGTAAAATGGCTGTTGAAGCACTTTCTGTCCTGGTTTTTTGTTTTTGTTTTTGCTACACTATAGGTCAGAATTTGAACTAATAGCCAAAAGTTGGTGATTCATGAGTTATGAACTAGTTGTATCAACAGAAAGCAAGAGTTTGAGGAAAGCCATAATTTAGCTGTGGGAGAACCTGAGGGCAGAAGGAGAACCAACTGCCAAGAGGAAAGAGAACAGGCCTCCAGCAGCGAAGGGGATTCGGTGAGCTAATAATGTCAAGGAGAAGTTTCAGGTTATCCTCACCAGCTCCACAATGGGTGCTTTGTGGTCTCTGCCTGTGTTACGTTTCCTCTCAATGTACCTTCGTGTGAACTGGGCAGTGGAGGTGCCTGCTGCAGCTACCATGGAGTTTACGGTCTGGGCAGCTCACGTCAGGCAAAGCACACAAACAGCCATCAGCCAGTGGGCCCAGGGCACCTCTGGACGAAGCCTTGCGGGGACACAACCTTCTTTACTACAGAGAGCCTGTAGCCATGGTGATCAGACCGGAAGAGTTTGTGAGAAACTTATTTTCCTCCTGTGGCTGAGGAGGGGCCAGCTTTTCCCTCTTTTGCCTGCTGTTTTCTCTCCTAATCTATCATATGATTTGATCTGGTTTAGAATTTTCTTTGGAGTTTAGAATATTTGTTTTCTGTCCCAGGATATTTTTTATAAGAAACTAACTTCAAGAGTAGTGTGCTAGTACTAACCTGAGTTTAAATTAAAATTGGCTTGTATTAGGCAGTCAGAGACAGGAAAAATAAGAGCTCTGCAAAGAAAATAGGGTTTAAAGTAGTAGGTCCTATCATCTCAATTCATTTTTTCCGTGAAACTTCCTTCTCCCAAGATTCATTCCTTCTCTCAGACATGTGGCAGTGTGGGTATTGTCCTTGAGAAAGCACAGCTACAGCAGAGCCCCCTGAATAGCAATTTGTGATTCGAAGCATTCTTGAGGGATCTGTAATCTAGACTAGCTTATTTCTTTAAGGATCCCAAATGTGTTGCATCTTCCATGGTAAGTTTCTCCTCTGAAGAGGGTACGTGGGGTGTGTGTGTTTAAATCCTTCTTATGTAGTATTGATTGTCCTGTGTAGAAAGACGGCAATTATTCTCTTTCTCCAAGTTGGAGCCACATCTCAGCCACATTGTAAGACAGTGTACAGAGAACTTATCTTTCCCTTTTTTTTTTTTTAAAGGACAGGATCTTGCTGTGTTGTCCAGGCTAGACTTGAACTCCTGGGCTCAAGTAATCCACCTCAGCCTTCTGAGTAGCTGAGACTACAGCCCATCTTATTTCTTTAAATCACTCATCTCAGGGAGAGAACTTTTCCTTCACACATTCTTTTTAGAATTAGCTCAGTCATTCCTACAACATCAAAATGCTGGTCTTCCACCATGAAAAATAGATTGTCACTGGAAAGAACAGTAGCAATTTCCACAAGGATGTGCCTTCACACACATGGGAGAGGCGGTGGTTATGGAATCGGGCAAAACCAGCAATAGAGTATGACCAGCCAAGCCAATCTGCTTAAGAAGGAAGGTAGCCACTAAGTGTCCGAGTCTGACTGGGCTACAGAATTTCATTACATGCCTATGGGAAAACCAACCATATTTGGAAGATTTGTAGATTTTTTTTTTTTTTTTTCAGAGAAGAAAGGCTCACCTTCTTGTTTTTGATTCTCACTAGGTTAGTGTGTGTTCCTATAATCACAGCTCTGACTCCAAATGACTAAATTTCTCAATCAGAAAAAATAGACGCTTTCTAAGCAACTTGGAAGAAAACAGTCATAAAAAAGCAATTGATGGATTTTACTACAGAAGCAACACCTAAAGAGGCAGTGTTTTTACTTTTAGACTCCTGGATTCCCATTCTATAGTCTCTCTCTCTTCTTCTCTTTTTTTTTTTTTTTTTTTTTGAGAGGATAGTTTCATTCTTGTTGCCCAGGCTAGAGGGCAGTGGTGCAATGGCACAATCTTGGCTCAACGTAACCTCGGTCTCCCAGGTTCAAGTGATTCTCCTGCCTCAGCCTCCCCGAGTAGCTGGCATTACAGGCATGCATCACCACATCTGGCTAATTTTGTGTTTTTAGTAGAGACGGGGTTTCTGCATGCTGGTCAGGCTGGTCTCAAACTCCCAACCTCAGGTGATCCGCCCGCTACAGCCTCCCAAAGTGCTGGGATTACAGGTGTGAGCCACTGCTCCTGGCCTCTCTCTCTCTGCTTTTAAACACCCTCCTTTTGCAATAGATGCCCAAACAGATGTTTATTACTTGTTCTTTCTTTGGCCTCAAACAGTGTATGTATTCTTGATATAATTTGTAGAATGTGAAATGTAAGTTGAACTACCAAATAAGGTCTTCCAGGGTTAGAAAACTGCAGGAAGCCTTTGATGGTAACCCCAAAGGCTTTGTATATTTGATCACTTGTGATCTAACCCTGTAAGAAGAGCTCAGAAACCACTATGAAAAGATTTGTTCAGTGTCTCTGTGTTGCTGTAGGTTCTGGAGTCTAAGGATGCAAAGATGAATAAGATAAATTCTCAGGGTGCAGCTATAATCTTGTTTTCTGGTATATGACATCTTTTTTTTTTTTTTTTTTTTTTTGAGAAGGAGTCTTGCTCTGTCGCCCAGGCTAGAGAGCAGTGGCGTGATCTCGGCTCACTGCAGCCTCTGCCTCGCAGGTTCAAGTGATTCTCCTGCCTCAGCCTCCTGAGTAGCTCACACTACAGGCGAGCGCCACCATGCCCTGCTAATTTTTGTATTTTTAGTAGAGACAAGGTTTCACCATGTTGGTCAGGATGGTCTCGAACTCCTGACCTCGTGATCTGCGCACCTCGGCCTTCCAAAGTGCTGGGATTACAAGCGTGAGCCACCACGCCCGGCCTGACATCTTTCTTTAACTTCTCTCAAATACTGGGTTTTTGTCCATAACCACTTTTATCATTACTGAGGGCTTGGTGTTATAAAAGATACTTTGATTCTTTCAGAAACCAATCCATTCAGTAAAGAACTCCTTTTTTTTTTTCTTTTTTTTTTTGAGACAGAGTCTTGCTCTGTCGCCCAGGTTGGAGTGCGGTGGCGCAATCTTGGCTCACTGCAACCTCTGTCTCCTGGGTTCAAGCAGTTCTTCTGTCTCAGCCTAAGTAGCTGGGACTACAGGGTGCCCACCACTATGCTCGGCTAATTTTTTTGTATTTTTAGTAGAGACAGCGTTTTATTATGTTGGCCAGGATGGTCTCGATCTCCTGACCTTGTGATCTGCCCTCCTTAGCCTCCCAAATTGCTGGGTTTACAGGCATGAGCCACCGCGCCTGGCCTAAAGTACTCCTTTTTCTTTAAATTTGCTGTTAGACATAAGGAACAGTTTGCCCTGCCATTCTCACCTCCAAGAGTATTCTGAACATTGAATTTGGAAAGAAACTTGAAAATTGGACATTTGGTTTTGCCCTTGGAATGGAAACTATCATGTAGAGTAAATGATCCTTGTGATTTTCTCACCTCTTTAAATTCCCAAAACACAGGAGATTAAAAACACAGGTTTCAGCTCTTCATAGTGCTTTTTTTTTTTTTTTTTTTTTTTGAGACGGAGTTTCGCTCTTGTTACCCAGACTGGAGTGCAATGGCATGATCTCGGCTCACCGCAACCTCCGCCTCCTGGGTTCAAGCAATTCTCCTGCCTCAGCCTCCTGAGAAGCTGGGATTACAGGCACGCGCCACCATGCCCAGCTAATTTTTTGTAGTTTTAGTAGAGACGGGGTTTCACCATGTTGACCAGGATGGTCTCGATCTCTTGACCTCGTGATCCACCCGCCTCGGCCTCCCAAAGTGCTGGGATTACAGGCGTGAGCCACCGCGCCCGGCCCATAGTGCTTGTTTAAATTGCTGACCAGAGGGTACCAACAAGGCTGTCATCGGGCTCCCGGCTCAGCATCATCTGCATGTGGTCATCTGCACAGTCCTCTCCTCTAGCAGGAAACACCGCAGATTTGCATATTAAAAAGCGCCCTGGTGCTGAAATGAACCACTTTCTTGAACATGAAAGCTGTCTTCCACAGCCTCGGGCAGCAGGGCACCTCTGAGTGGATGCTGGGTCCACCATGGGTCTTGATGTGTGATGGCGGCATTTCCACTTGGTCTGTGTAGCAGGAACGACTTTTTCCATAAAGCAATTTTCCTTTTGAAATATGTAATTGTTGAAACTAGGTGGTTTCAAATCAACTGCATAGAGTAGCAAGTACAGGGTTGTCTCATTTATGGTGCCCTTGGAGGTGCCGGGATGAGGGTTTCAGCGGGATCATTTCCCTCACATACTGTCTGGCTTCTGCTTCTGTGGACACTGCTTTGTACTTAATTTAGACAGACTGTGAATACATCTTTTTTATAAATGCCTTTCAAATTCTTGGTAAGATGTAATTTTGGTAGCTGATTGCAGATTTTCCTGTATTTGTCAGATTAATAAAGACCGCATGAATCCAGCTGTGCTAGTTTTCTTACATGAAAGTATCATAATGTGTAAATAACACTTTTTTCAAGAAACTGGAAGCAAATGCATTGTTTCTAAACTCCTAAGAAAGTGGTATGGATTATAGCATGCCACACTTCTGAAGAGTACAATATTAAATCTGCTTATAAAAAGCCTCAAAGCGGGGGCTGGACACAGTGGCTCATGCCTGTAATCCCAGCACTTTGGGAGGCTGAGGTGGGTGGATCACCTGAGATGAGGAGTTCGAGACCAGCCTGGCTAACATGTTGAGACCAAAAATTAGCCAGGCATGGTGGCGCTTGTCTGTAGTTCTAGCTACTCGGGAGGCTGAGGCAGAAGAATCGCTGGAACCCAGGAGGCTGAAGTTGCAATGAGCCGAGATCATACCACTGCACTCCAGACTGGGTGACAAGAGCAAAATGCCTCAAAAAAAAAAAAAAAAAAAAAAAAGCCTCAAAGCAGCTATTCTTAATACTTTCTGAAAGGTATTTTTTCTAATAACTTTCATACTAATATAAATATGTCAGAGCAAACTATAAACATAAGACATGTATGTTGTACAATTCAGAAAAGTGCTGGAGGATTATTTTTAAAAAATTATGTAGGTCACACTAATGGGGAAAAGCCACACTACTTTTTCTTTTTTTTTTGAGACAGAGTCTCGCTCTGTCACCCAGACTGGATGCAGTGGCACGATCTCAGCTCACTGAAAACTCTGCCTCCTGGGTTCAAGCAATTCTCCTGCCTCAGCCTCCTGAGTAGCTGGGATTACAGGTGCATGCCACCACACCCAGCTAATTTTTGTATTTTTAGTAGAGATGGGGGTTTCACCAGGTCGGTCAGGCTGGTCTTGAACTCCTGACCTTGTGATCCACCCACCTTGGCCTCCCAAAGTGCTGGGATTATAGGCATGAGCCACTGCTCCCGGCCTGTACAACATTACTTTTATTGACCTGGTAGAGCATAGAATGTCCTCTCACTCTGTCCCCAAACTCAATAAAACCTTTTGTTTCTAAACAGTAACACATACAGTGTTAGAAATGATTAATCAGAAATATGTTTATAGCAGAAAAACCACAGTTGGCCATGGTATTCAGAAGAGGCGGTTAAATTGATGTGTTCCCGGCTACCTCTGCTAAGGGCATCGGGAAGTAGGGAGTGTTTAATCCCTATTTTGGGAATTGGAGGCATCGTTCTTTTTTTTTTTTTTTGAGACAGAGTTTCACTCTTTTTACCCAGGCTGGAGTGCAATGGCGCGATCTCGGCTCACCACAACCTCCGTCTCCCGGGTTCAGGCAATTCTTCTGCCTCAGCCTCCCGAGCAGCTGGGACTACAGGCACGTGCCACCATGCCCAGCTAATTTTTTGTATTTTTAGTAGAGACGGGGTTTCACCATGTTGACCAGGATGGTCTCGATCTCTTGACCTCGTGATCCACCCACCTCGGCCTCCCAAAGTGCTGGGATTACAGGCTTGAGCCACCGCGCCCGGCCTTCATCGTTCATTTTCATGGCTCTTTTAGGCAGTGTCCATGGAGTCTCCTACAGAGGCGTCAGGACTTGGGAAAGGTTTCTGAGTTTTAGGGGTCCTGACAGTGGTGTTCGTGATGAGAATAGGAGGGACTTTGAGCAGGGTTGAGAAGCAAGGGTAATGAAGCTGGGCTTCCTGTGTCTCTAGGTAAGTTGCGTATCCATCAGCCCATGCCTCACCTCCCAGGAGATCCTTCTGTATGTGGTGTGGAGGGTAGCTTAGGATCTGGTTAAAAGTGAAATGACAGCATACTTGAGTGCTAGTGCAATGTTGACGTGCCAGTTGAACGGCAGTGCCAAGTAAAGGAGAGATCCACAAAAGCAGGGGTTTAAAATCAGAAATTTCTCAGAAAATTTGTTGTTGTTCTGGAAACAAGGTCTGGCTCTGTCGTCCAGTCTGCAGTGTAATAATGTGATCATGGCTTACTGCAGTGTTGAACTCCTGGGTTCAAGTGATCCCCCCACTCAGCCTCCTGAGTAGCTCGAACTGCAGGTGAACACCACGTTTTGTAAATGTGGCTTCTCTGGCTCTCAGGTTACTTCTGTGGGCATCCAGAAATTAATTCCAGGATATTTTAGGGCCTTCAGCCTCTGTCAGACCTGAAAGAGAAGCCAGGCTGCGCAGGTTAATGTGCTACCGACGGCACAGGCTGTTCACACTGGCGATGTGGGGTGCTGCCCGCTACGGCAGGGTGCCCCATTGTTTCAGATGGGCCCATGGTGACGGAGTCAGAGCAGCCCACTCGAGGGAGGAGGCCAGGACCCGGCTCCTCTGCCTGTCCACACATGGCAGGTCAACCTTTGGGGACTCTGCTTTCTCAACTGTTAAGGACAGAATTCCCTCTTTCCCCTCTTGTGCTCTGGATAAATTCATGAGATAAGGCATAGACATGTTGCAAGTGATTATGCAACTTTTATCATTAAAGATATGTAATAACACTTAAGGTTCGCCAGCATACTCCAAGCATTTGGTAATTTTTGCATGAATTGATTTTTGGTTTTAAGTCAAAACGTATTTTGGTAAACATTCCTGTGAAGGGAGGCCCATTCTAAGTCTCAGACAGAGCTGGAGTGCCACCAAGACCAGGCCTGGGGTCCCGCTGTTCTGCCAGCCAACTGATGGGCTCCCCTGTCTCTTCCTGGCAGTGCTCCATGGCAGTGGGAAGGAGGATGAGGCCTCGCCACCCCGAAGAGGGCCCCCTGGCCCGCCTCAATGCTGGAGACAAGTCTGGCCCCATCTTCCCACTGGGACCTGGGCCAACCCAGATGTTTCCCACAGCCTCTCCCTCCACTCCTCGCTTCCAGGATGGGCCCAAAAATACGCCCAACTCCAGCCTATTTTTCTCACTCCAAGCTCCTTCCTTTCTAGATTGCTTTGCCTGAGGATTCTGCCCCAGGCTGGGAGGGGCTGGGGACCCAATTCTCCCATTTCCCTGCGGTTTGGCAGGAGTCTTCCCTCACCCGTGTAGCTCTCAGAGCAGGCTCTGCCTTTGTCTACAGACTGTGGCTCCCTGGACAGGCAAAGGAGAATGCCTCGGTCACCCTGATGCCTCCAAGCCCGGTGACAGGAGCTAAGGATGGCAGGTAGAGATCTTGGAGCCACCTTGCGGCTGCCCGACCCTCCTGGGAGCTTGAGTGCTGCCCCATTTCTGAAGCTCCTGGCAGCTGCTCAGTAAATGGTGAGTCAATGAAGGACTGTAGGGGTGGCTGCAGCGTCTGCGGGAGGGGATTTCCGTGCAGAATGATGTAAATAGGGCATGTGTGTGGGAATGTGTTTTGAGTAAGAACAAACATTAACCAGCTTTTGTTTCTGTTGACAACGCTGTGCTGAAGAGTGCGGAGCCCAAGTCAACCGGCCTTATCCCCTCAGGAGACCTGAATTTATAAACAGTGGTCAGGATGAATCCAAACAGGATTCCTCCCCCTGGTCACGTTTGTGACATCTGGAGAAATGTATGGGTTTGTCCTGGGTCAGTGTCACCACATCGGATGCAGGGAGAATTAAGGATAGTGAGGTTGTTAATATGTACCGAATTTAACCAAGAAAAGCCCCAGAGGAAGGTACTGGCCCATAAAACCAATGTCCCTTGAGCATGTCCCTTGATATGCCACAGCATGTCCCTTAATATACTGCAAACACTATGCTTAGCCCATCACAGGCATTGGCTCCTGTCCTTACCCCACGTCCTTACCCCACCCTACACATAGGGCCTGTTAGTCCCATTTTACAGAGGAGGAGGAGAGGGAGGGGGAGGGGGAGAGGCGCTCCCAGGGTCACAGTCTGCAGGTAAGTGGGAGAGGCTGCGCCCCCAGCACTGTCCAGGACGGGGACACGACCCCATTTCTGTTGAACTGAATCTTTGTCTGAGTGGGCCTTGATAATGTAGAGTCTCACAACCTCCCTCAACTTTCTCACGAAAGCTGCTCAAGCGACAGAGGACAGAGACACTGAGGGGCGTGGACACAGTCCAAGCCTCAGGTAGAGATTTCTCTGGAGTTTCACAAAAATCAAAACTTTATTTAATGATGTATGCTTTTTGTTGTCTTACTGGGTAAAATATTTAAAATGTACCATCCTAACCGTTTTTGAGCGTACATTTGGTGACATTAAGTACCTTCGCAGTGATGTGTAACCATCACACGCCCATCTCCAGTACTCCTTGCTCACCGCAAAATGGCTCCCCACTCCCCGCCACAGCCTCCAGCACCCCCAGCTCTGTCTCTGTGAATTTGACTATTCGAACCTCACAGGAGTGGAATGACCCAGTGTTCATTCTTCTGTGACTGGCTTATTTCACTTAACATAAAGTCCTTGAGGTTCATACATGTTGGTGTTTTAATGTTAAAAAAAAAAAAAAGGTCGGGCGTGGTGGCTCACACCTGTAATCCCAGCACTTTGGGAGGCCGAGGCGGGTGGATCACGAGGTCAAGAGATCGAGACCATCCTGGTCAACGTGGTGAAACCCTGTCTCTACTAAAAATACAAAAAATTAGCTGGGCATGGTGGCATGTGCCTGTAATCCCAGCTACTCAGGAGGCTGAGGCAGGAGAATTGCCTGAACCCAGGAGGCGGAGGTTGCGGTGAGCCGAGATCGCGCCATTGCACTCCAGCCTGGGTAACAAGAGCGAAACTCCGTCTCAAAAAAAAAAAAAAAAAGGTCGGGTGTGGTGGCTCACACCTGTAATCCCAGCACTTTGGGAGGCTGAGGCGGGCAAATCACAGTGTCAAGAGATTGAGACCAGCCTGGCCAACATGGTGAAACCCCATCTCTACTAAAAATACAAAAAAGTTAGCCAGGCATGGTGGCAGGTGCCCGTAGTCCCAGCTACTCAGGAGGTGGAGGCAGGAGAATCGCTTGAACCCAGGAGGCGGAGTTTGCAGTAAGCCAAGATCGTGCCACTGCACTCCAGCCTGGTGATAGAGTGAGACTCTGTCTCGGGAAAAAAACACACACACACATTAAAAAACGGCTGGGTGTAGTGGCTCATGCCTGTAATCCCAGCACTTTGGGAGACCAAGGCAGGTGGATCACTTAAGGCCAGGAGTTTGAGACCAGCCTGGCCAACATGGCAAAGAGCTGTCTCTACTAAAAATACAAAACTTAGCTGGGCATGGTGGTGGGCGCCTGTAATCCCAGCTACTTGAGAGGCCGAGGCACAAGAATTGCTTGAACCTGGGAGACGGAGGTTACAGTGAGCTGAGATCACGCCACTGCACTCCAGTCTGGGTGACAGAGCGAGACTCCATCTCAAAAAAATAAAATAAAAATAAACAATAAAGACAGGCATTTGGGGCTCATGTGTTGGGAGGCCGAGGTAGGAGGATTGCTTGAGGCCAGGAGTTTAAGAACAGCCTGGGCAACATAGCAAGACCCTGTCTCTAACTTAAAAAAAAAAAAACAATGACACCGTCATAAACCATCACCAGGTCAGGTACGGTGGCTTGGGCCTGTAATCCCAGTACTTTGGGGGGCTGAGGCAGGTGGATCACCTGAGGTCAGGAGTTTGAGACCAGCATGGCCAACATGGCAAAACCCCATCTCTACTACAAGTACAAAAATTAGCCGGGCGTGGTGGTAGCTGCCTGTAATCCCAGCTACTCGGAAGGCTGAGGCAGCAGAATCACTTAAACCCAGGAGATGGAGGTTGCAGTGAGCTGAGATCCTGCCACTGCGCTCCAGCCTGGGCGACAAGAGCAAGAATCTGTCTAGAAACAAAACAAAACAAAAAAAACACCAAAAATATTTAACACCACTACACAGTCCTAATCTTAAAGTTGATGTTCCCAGAAGCTGTGTCTTTTTATCCAGTGTCTTCTTGTGATCCTAAGGTAACAAGCCCTGGTGCCAGAGGCACTGACCAGCCAGGCCTCAGCTCCCAGCTCTGGCCAAGCAGGACAGCCCCGTCGCAGCCGCTCCGTGCTGGTGCTCCCGGAGGCCTGTGCTGGAGGCCCAGGTGGACGCAGGTGTGTGCCACACCTCTTCCGAGAGGATGTCGCTGCCAGCTTTCTGCTGCCCCACTTTATTCTCAGAGTTTGGGTGGTGGGTTCCTGGGAATTTTCAATTTTAATGTTGATGTTTATTTACATCAATCTATTGTCTTTCTTTTAAAAATGAGAGGCTGCCATGCAGGAAGGTTGGCTTGCCCGAGATGTCACGGCCAGTAAGTGTGTGCAGCAGACCAAGACTTCAGGACTCCCTTCCCCCTGCCCCCAAGCTTGGGCCACATTCACAGCACCACCAGGACGTGATGCCAGTAGGCCACCCCGCCACCACATCATATGAATGCTGCTCATCGGAATCCCATCTGCTCTGCAGTTAAGTTGCTTTTAATGTGCAAAATTCAGAAAGCTCTGAAAATGGAAAGGTTTCTTATAAATCTGTCCATAATACCTGACTGAGCTGCTGCTGTAAGGCCATTTAGAGTCTTTTGCCCATTAGGAGGACATTTGTGAGTTTTGCAGCAGAGCTATGAGTGTGTATGTGTGGTTGTTTTGCTCATTTATTTTGATTAAAGAGGGCTTCTGGCCATTCGCAGTGGCTCACACCAGTAATCCCAGCACTTTGGGAGGCCAAGGTGGGCGGATCACTTAAGCCCAGGAGTTTGAGACCACCAGCCTGGGCAATGTGGTGAGTGAACCCCGTCTCTAACAAGAAAAACACACACACACACATAAAAAACAAAAAGCTGGGTGTGGCAGTGCATGCCTGTAATTCCAGCTACTTGGGAGGCTGAGGTAGGAGGATTACTTGAGGCCAGGAACCAGAGGTTGCAGTGAGCCGAGATAGTGAAAAGAAGCCTTCCAACCTGCTGGGACTATTCTATAATATGCAGTTTAGTAACTTCTAAAGCCTGGAAGATTCTCAATTCTGAAACACATTTGGCCCCAAGAGTTTCTGATAAGGGATTGGGACCTAGATATATAGAACAGAATTATAGTGATATGAGGCAGGAGCAGTGGCTCACACCTGTAATCCTAGCACTTTGGGAGGTGGAGGCAGGTGAGTCATAAGACCAGCCTGGCCAAGATGGTAAAACACTATCTCTACTAAAAATTACAAAAAAATTAGCCTGTCACAGTGGCAGGCACCTGTAATCACAGCTACTTGGGAGGCGGTGGCAGGAGAATCACTTGAACGTGGGAGGTGGAGGTGGCAGTGAGCCAAGATGGCACCATTGCACTCCAGCCTGGGCAACAGACCAAGACTCTGTCTCAAAAAAAAAAAAGAAAAAAAGAATTATAGTGATATGAAAGCTGTAAAAATAAAGAGCTTAGACCCTGTTTTGTGTCTGTACATCTTTCTGTGGCATTATATTATAAAGCAGGGGTCCGGGATAACAGGTCCCCGCAGAAATGAGAGCCAGAGAAGCACTGCAAAAAAAACAAAAGGAAAGTTATTTCCCCTGCTTCAGCTTCAAGGAAGCCTTGTTTTAGGACTGCGAGGCGCTTGCCCACTGACTTCTGGGTTGTGTTTCCAGGCCTTTGGCCCAAGGCACAGGCTGCCTCTCAGTGTCCGGGGCTAAGAACCATTCCAGTACAGAGGCTGAAGCCACGGGGGAGATGAGAGGTGCCCCAGGATCGTGGTGGAGGGCAAGACCCACGGCCTTGACCGCTGCCTCCGGGGCTGCCACTCCAGGGCCCCTCTCTGTGACAGCCCACCAGGGACGGCACCAGGGACCACAGATCCTGGCTTGCAAGAACCACCACAAGAGAACAGGGACTTGCTGCCCTCTGCAACCATCCGAGGGGCCACCACGAAGCCACAGGACACCAGGCTTGCCTGGGAGGCTGGGGTGCCCACCTGGAGCCTCGAGACCCAGAGACACCCTCGAGGCCTGTGTTCTCTCTCACGTGGACTCCACACCTTCCACCGGCCTTTTGTGGGGGTCTGGGCCAGGAGCTGCTTTCTCCTTTGGGAAGTGAAGGTGGGTTCCTCACAGCAGCTCCCTTAATGTCTCAACCAGCTTCTCCAAAGGAGGCCGTGGTCAGTCCCTGTGGCTGGGGTTTGTGTTCCCCTGTGGGTGGAGGGGATGAGCTCTTGCAGGCTGGAGCCACTGGCTGGGAGCCCGTCGGGAGCCGCATTGGAAAGCCCCTTCCTTTCCCACTGTCTTCTGCTCTCCTTCCCCAGGCACTGTCCTGCCTCCACGAAGCCTCTCCCCCGTCCTGGTGCCCTTTCCGGGATCCGAGTGATAGTGGGCCCGATGTCACTGGGGGGACATCCCAGGAATTCCTGTTCTTCTCCTCTGGATGGCCCTCTGGTCTTCCGCAAGGGTGAGAGGAGCTGTCACATATTTCTGTCTCAGCTTTAAGGATAAAATTCCCCTCCCAAGGCCAGGCAGCTGATCTCCTACAGCCACTTGTTAGAGACACGGAGCCCTGAATTCCCACTTGGGTGGTCTTGCGTGGTGCTTCAGAGACCTGACTTGGATATGGCAACTCGTGGGGGGAAGGAGGGTTGAGATGGCATCTGGAAGCACAGACCGGAGTAGAAAGGCAGGCTGGCTGCAGGGGTTTTAACCCCCACCTTCCCGCCATCCCCAGCATTTGAATGACTTATTAAGGGAAATAAGCATATGTATTGGGGGGCGGGGAGTAGTTAGAGAAATAAATGTAGACAGCCTCAGATGTGGAGTATCTTGTCTTTTTTCCTTTGGATTCTTAGTGAGCTGTAGCACAGGTTCTATGACTTTTTTATTTGAGACAGAGTCTCGCTCTGTCTCCCAGGCTGGAGTGCAGTGGCACAATCTTGGCTCACTGCAACCTTACCTCCCTGGTTCAAGTGATTCCCCTGCCTCAGCCTCCCAAGTAGCTGGGATTACAGGCACATGCTGCCATGCCCAGCTAATTTTTTTGTATTTTTAATAGAGACGGGGTTTCGCCATGTTGGTCACACTGGTCTTGAACCCCTGACCTGAGGCAGTCTGCCTGCCTCGTCCTCCCAAAGTGCTAGGATTATAGGCATGAGCCACCAGGCCCAGCCAGGTTCTATGACTTTTATAGTAAAAATGTTTGAATACTGATTGTACAATTCATTTTAGTCTAAATTGACACACGCAGTGCTAGAATGTAAGTCCCCACTAGAGTGTAAACTCCCCGAAAGCAGAGACGACCTAGTGTGTGCTGGAGCCCACGCCTGGAGCTGACTGTCCCCCAACTCCACATCTGGTAACATCACCTTGGTACCTTGAAAAGAGCCGTGGAGGGAGCATCTACAGCAAACACCATGGAAAAGAAGCGACCCTGCACCGCAGTGCTGCCTCTCCTGCGGTGAGTGAAGGTTAAACAGTTACCACCACTGGACAGGTCTATCCCAGCCTCCAGCACACAGTAGGCACCCAGATGTTCGAATGAACAACCTCCGCATAAGGAAGAGGGAAGCAGCATCCTCTAAATTCAGTTCAATGGGAGTTCAATAAATATCCTGTCCTGGTGGACGTGTGTTTTCTGGGGCAGCTTGCCATCTGAACTTCCACCTGGGACCCTGCCAATTCTTGTTTCTCAGATCCTGGCCATCAGGTTACAGGTATGTTCCTGTGGGCTGATTCCTCAGCCCTCCTGTCAATCTGCCATCTTCCAATGCCCTTCCTCTAAGCAACTCTATTTTTTGTTTGTTTTGTTTTGTTTTTGTTTCTGGAAATGGAATCTCACTCTGTCCCAAGCTGGAGTGCAGCAGTGTGATCTTGTAACCTCAATGCAACCTCCACCTCCTGGGTTCAAGCAATTCTCCTGCCTTGGCCTGCTGGGTAGCTGGGACTACAGGTGTGTGCCACCACGCCCGGTGCAATGAGCTCAGGCAATCCGCCCGTTTCGGCCTCCCAAAGTGCTAGGATTACAGGCGTTAGCCACCACTCCCGGCCTGAAGCAACTCTTCTGTTTAAGTTGACTCAGTCCTTTTCTGTGGTATGCAACCAAGAACCCCGAGGGTCAGTTCAGGTCCTTTGAGAGCAGAGGCCGAGATGGGACTAGACTTGTGAAAGATCTACAGGGGAACACCTGTGAGGATAAACCGCAGGAGGAGGCACAGGGGGAGTACAGAATGTGGTGAGGGGCTGAGAGCAGCCGCCAAAGGCTGTTCACCAGCTACGCTTCTCACAGCCCCTGTCTGGAGGCAAACCTTCAGGGCTACCATGAACCTCTGGTACAAAGTGTAATATGAAAATCGATTTCTGCTCTTGCAACGTTCACAATTATGAGAGAGACAGAGAAACAACTCTACCACTGCAGTAGTTTGAAAGTGCTAGGGCAAAGCCTGGGACCAATGGGAGCGCAGAGGGAGATGTACAGGAAGGCTTCCTGGAGGAGGCGAACCCTGGGAGCCCAGAGGCGCTTGGCATTTTGCCCTCTTTCTTCTCTCCAGCCATCCATCCCTACCCAACCACACAAAGAAATCTGGCCACTTCTTTCTTAGCCTCATCCTTAGATCTGCTATCCGCAGAGATGATGAAAATGTAGAGAATTGAGGATACACATGGCGGGGAACATGGGACAGAGAAATTAAAATAAATTTTTTTTTAGAGACAAGGTCTCGTCTCGCTCTGCTGCCCAGGCTGGAGTGCAGTGATGCAATCATAGCTCACTGCAGCCTCAACCTCCCAGGCTCAATTGATCTGCCTGCCTCAGCCTTCCAAGTAGCTTGGACCTGCGGTCCCCAACCTTTTGGCACCAGGGACCGGTTTCATGGAAGACAATTTTTTCACAGTTCTGGGGGTGGGGTAGGATGGTTTCAGGATGAAACTGTTCCAAGCTAATGCCTGATCCTGTTCAGATCATCAGGCATAGATTTTCATAAGGAGTGCACAACCTGGATCTCTTTCATGAGTAGTTCACAGTAGAGCTCATGCTCCTGTGAGAATCGAATGCGGCTGCTGATTTGACAGGAGGCAGAACTCAGGCAGTAATGCTGGCTCACCTCCTGCTGAGTGGCCCGGTTCCTAACAGGCCGTGGACAGGTACTGGTCCATGGCCCCGGGGGTTGGGGATCTCTAGTTTGGACTTCAGGCAACTGCCACCATACCTGGCTAAGTAAAAAAAAAAAAAAACCGTAGCGATCAGGGGATCTCACTATGTTGCCTTGGCTAGTTTTGAACTCCTGGACTTAAGCAATCCTCCCGCCTCAGCCTCCCAAAGTGTTGGGATTCCAGGCATGAGCCACTGTGCCCAGATCACAACTTTTATTCAGCATCTAGTAGGAACTTGATGGAAACCAGTTACTTCCCTACTCCACCACCTGCTGTGAGTCTCAAGGGAGCAAGCTGTAGCTTAAGGAGTCGACCTGACCTGCCCAAGTGCACACAATGAAAAGCTGAGGAGCTTTCCCGTCCAGCTCCACCCAGGCTACCCCAAGCCCCAGTGCAAGGGGGTCTCAGGTGCAGCCAGTGAGTGGCACAGGGCCAGCGCAGAGGGGTCTTCACAGCGGGAAGGAAAGTCTTACACACACTCTTTCCTGGCCTCTTCTTTCTAAACCACCCTATTGTAATGCATCAATTCTGTTCACCACATCTCTGTGAGGGAGGCAGAGGAGAAATGAGGCTGGGAGAGAAGTTCCTGCCCAAGCCAGTAATTGGCAGGGCCTCACTGGTGGGTCTAGGACAGCCCCTTACCGCTGCGTGTGGGCTCTGTCCCCAACCTCAGGGCTCTCTTTGCAGCTAGGATGAGGCACAAGAAATCACAGGCCTGAGTGTCTGAGAAGAAGGGATCATAGGAAAAGCAGGGACATGGCAGGAAAGGGAGCTCCTTGGGCCTCAGCTTCCCCCACCCTGCAGCGGGAGAAGCGCTTTCCTCCTACTTAACAAAGGGGACCTTTGACCAAGCTCAGAAAAGTCCCAGCTGGTGGGGGCAGGGAGTGGGGGCTATGGAATGGAAGAAGCGCTTTTCCTTTTAGGAGAGGCTGCATGATTCCACCCCCCTTTCGCCGCCAAGCTTTATCTTTGCCTAAGAATTCACACAACTCCCCAGGGGTCCCGCTACAGCTGCCGTTCCTCTGTCTTCACTGATAGGTAAGAAATGTGTCTGATTTAAACCGGCCATGTTTTAATAAGCATTTTGTCTGAACAGGGAAATGAGCTGCACCAGTGAGGGTGGGGTGGGGGGCTGAAGGGGGAGTGAGCTCCCCAATGGTGGCTTCTCTTTGCCCAAATGAGGCCAAGGGAGAAGTGGGGGGGCCAGCAAGGAGCCGAAGGCAGAAGAGTGTGGGGGAAGGGGAGAAGCCTTTGAGACCTCCCACCAACCTTCCTCCAACCTCCCCCCCCCCCGCCCCCCAACCTCCCTCTTGCCCAGAGCCGGTTTCTAAAGATGAGTGAATTCGAGTTTCAAAAAAGGAGTGGCAGGCAAAGAGTGTCTTGGTTGAGAAAAAAGACAACCAGGAACACAAATGAGGTTGAGGCCATGTGTTGAGCCCCCACCTTGATGCTAATTAGTGCCCTGCCACAGGTGGTGGGACTCACAGCAAGCAAACCACAGCAACAGGGACAGAAACCGAGGGAGCAGGACAGGCACCCAGTTGGCCTGGGGTGGTGTGGAGATGGCTTCCAAAGCAGGTGACATGCCAGGCACTGTGGCACATTGGGAGGCCACTGTGGGAAGATGCCTTGAGATCTGGAGTTCGAGAACAGGTTGGGCAAAATGGCGAGACCTTGTCCCTACTTAAAGAAGAGGGCCGGGCGCGGTGGCTCATGCCTGTAATCCCAGCACTTTGGGGGGCCGAGGTGGGTGGATTACCTGAGGTCAGGAGTTCGAGACTACCCTGGCCAACATGGTGAAGACCTGTCTCTACTGAAAACACAAACATTAGCTGGACATGGTGGCAGGTGTCTGTAATCTCAGCTATTGCGGGAGGCTGAGGCTGGAGAATTGCTTGAACCCAGGAGGCGGAGGTTGCAAGGAGCTGAGATGGCAACATTGCTCCCTAGCCTGGGCAACAAGAGTGAAACTCGTCTAAAAAAAAAAAGAAAGAGAAAGAGAGGAAGGGAGGAAGGCAAGGAGGGAGGGAGGGAGAGAAAGAAGAAAGGAAAGAAAGTGACATTTGACCAGGGTTTTGAGGGCTGAGTAGGGGTTTGAGAGGTGGGGGGATTGGGAGAGTGCATTCTAGGAGTGAGAAAAGGTGCTGGGAGATGCAGCAGCATGTGTGCGGAGAACTCCGTTGTGGCTGAAGAACAGGATCCAGGTGTGGAGGAGAAGGAGGTGGCTGGACACAGAGGCGCGTTGTGTGTAGGGGAGGGATGGGAGGAGCGGACAGGGCAGAGCTAGAAGGCTTGGTCAAGGGGAAATGGGACTGGAGAGGTGACTGGCGCTGACCCAAGAAAGGACAGAAGGGGTAACCACAGAGTGGAGGATGAACTAAGCCTTGGCACAGACTCAAGCGGGTGGAGGCCTGGGGCAACACCGGTCGCCACGGGGGCCTCTCCTAAGGCCCTGTCCACCCTCTGGGATTGGAGATAGGTAAGGGAGACCGGGCGGGGTGGAGGGTGAAGCCAGGCAGCGGCGGGGAGAGAAAGTCCCACCCCTGCGGGCGATCCTCGCAGCCCCGCCGACCTCGCGGGCTTGGGCCTGGGCGGGCACCGACGGAGCGGTCCTGGGCGCGGCCTCCCGGCGCCGGTGAAGACAGGTAGGGAGGCGGAGGGACGGGA